GGTGGCTCCCTTACTGCTGGGCATCCAGCTGTCGTGAGGCTCCTCTTGATAATGTTATTAACCTCCTCATGTCTTGCAATCTTTCCCTCGGATTTACGGCACACAAGACCATGGTACCCGAATCGGTCTGCTGCTTCACTGCCACAAATACACCTGTGTTCGGCGAGAATAGGGGCGGCAAGTCGAAGGGCAACACCGATGCGGATGGTCTGTGGGTCGAGGCGTGTGCCAAGGCTGGAGTTGGGAACAGCCAACAGAAAGTCCCCAGCATGAGGGGCTCTCACTGCCACGAGGCGGGCTCTATCCTTCCCTGACACACTCTGAAGCATTGTTGAGGCTATATTTTCCACTATTGGACCATCCCAGTGTGATTGTTTGTAGTTGTTGGGGGGAGCAGGTCTGGTTTCAGAGCCCGTGTCAGAGCTGTGTGTCCTTATATTATTGTTAACTTGTTGACCTAAGCTAAAATGCTATGTAGTTTTAAAAATAGATTACATAAATACATAAGTGGGTGTGGGTGGGTGTGAGTTGGACCTGACTAGCTTGTGCTAATAGGTCTGATGCCGTGCTCCTTCCTTAAGTGGGTATGACCTGGACCTGACTAGGCTGGGTCAATGGTTTAAGCCAGTAGGTGATTTGGACCTGCCTCGCATGGGCCAGTAGGCTTGCTGCGCAGTGCCTACTTATGCTCTTACGTCCCGTGTAAGGCAACACTCCAGTACCTGCTGGAATGCCATGTCCCGTGTAAGACAACACTCCAGTACCTGCTGGAATGCCATGTCCCGTGTAAGACAACACTCCAGTACCTGCTGGAATGCCATGTCCCGTGCAAGACAAACTCCAATACCTGTTGAAATGCCATGTTCCGTGTAAGACAATACTCTAGTACCTGCTGGAATGCCATGTCCCGTGCAAGACAACACTCCAGTACCTGCTGGAATGCCATGTCCCATGTAAGACAACACTCCAGTACCTGCTGGAATGCCATGTCCCATGTAAGACAACACTCCAGTACCTGCTGGAATGCCATGTCCCGTATAAGACAACACTCCAGTACCTGCTGGAATGTCATGTCCCGTGTAAGATAAACTCCAATACCTGCTGGAATGTCATGTTCTGCATAATACAACATTCTTGAACTGCGTGTATGAAAACTCCAGTAGCCAGTGTTGGGTAAATGGTATCCCTGTACTTAATGGCGTTAATTATAATAATCTACGTTGACTCTACTTAGCAGTTTGCTTCTTTCAGGGGTTGAGCGTCTGGCTCACAATCGAAGGAACCCGGGCTCGATTACCAGCAAGGGCGAGACATGGCAGGGCACACAAGTGTTATGGGCACAGGTATTGTAGACACAAAATAGTGCACTATATTGGTTCAACCTACGATAACCCACAGTCAGTCATTATGGCTTCTTTTTGTATACACTGTGTCCAAGAGCACACGTCTAAGTCATACAACGCTGGTACATTATGTAGATTCATTAAACTCAAGATAACCTAAGATAATCTAGGATAACCCAGTATAACAGAATAACTCAGGAAAACATAAGATAAACCCAGGATAACCCAGGTTAATCTAGGATCATCCCTGATAACCTAGATTAATATAATATAATCCAGGAAAATCTAGGATTACCTAGGACTGAATTCTCCTAATACAAACTAGGATTATCCAGGAAAACCTAGAAAAACCAGGACAACCTAGTATAACCAAGGATGATCTAGAACAACCTAGGATAATCCAAAATAACCTAGGAGGGTCATGGATAAACCTAGGGTAAACCAGGACAGCCTAGGATAAGAAATTCAACGCGGATAATTTCCCCTAGGCTTCTTCAGAGTATTGTCCGACCAGCGGACGGACTAACTCCAAGACTGTCCACATAGTGACCCTCACATCAATCTTCTCTTCACCGTCATTATCTCTCGGGGCAGCGGGCGATATTGATAATCATTTCATGGTGAATATTGCTAATCAGTTCGTGGGGCCATACAAATAACCGAAATGCTCTCTGCGTTGGTTAGTTCATGGTTTTTTTAAGTTATTATTATTATAATCATAGGGGAGCGCTAAACCCAGAGGATTATACAGCGCATGTGGGGGGGGTGGAAGGTATTCAGGCTCAATTCAAGGAACTGCAGCACAGATCCAATTCCCTAGATCAAGAGCCCCTCACCAGCATTTGAGGTTTTAAGACTAGCCACTACACTGGGGCCCTTGAAACTGCACCTAGCCTTTTCACCCCCTAGATAAAGTATACCTTAATCCCTAGGATACGGATTAAAGTAAATCCACAGAATATATAGGCTAAGGGAAATAAAAGCTCACGCATACGTCCTGTGTGTGCTGCGTAACTAAGGGCTTTCCATGTGTAATAATTGTTATCCAATTCTTCTCTTATTATTGTTGTTTTTGGTATTATTATTATTATTATTATTATTATTATTATTATTATTATTATTATTATTATTAAATAAATGAGGAATGAGAGGAACAGGATCGATCCAAAAATTAGTTCCTCAAACCAAGAGTATTAAAAGAGAAAAGCTAGTGTGTCTAGTGGCCAAGAGGATGAAGAAAAAAGCCAGTGTGCACTGGGCTAAGAGGATGAACAGGAAAGTCAGTGTGTGTGTAGTGGGCAAGAGGAAGAGGAAAGCCAGTGTGTCAAGAGTGATTCAGGGAATCAGGTATCCCTGGCTTACCCAGTTCTGGATTCCCTGGCTTGTTCAATTTTCTGGAATGTGTACAGGCGAGGCTAGGATATTCTCTCTCAAGCTGCTAAAATTACGAATATGGGGGAGGAAGCAAGGTATATAAAACACGCTTTTATATTAAATATTTTTTTTTAGATTACAGCTGTTTAAAGTTCTACATGTAACAGATCTATAAGGACAAAAAGGAAAATAATGAAAAATAAACAATTAATATCGATATTAGGCTAAACTAACACTGAAGGTGTGTATGGATCCAGTAATCCGGAGATACAGGGATCCAGAAATCCAGGGATCCGGAAATCCAGGGATCCGGAAATCAAGGGATCCGGAAATCCAGGGATCCAGAAATCCAGGGATCCAGAAATCCAGGGATCCAGAAATCTAGGGATCCGAAAATCCAGGGATCCGGAAATCCAGGGATCTGGAAATCCTGGGATCCGGAAATCCCGGGATCTGGAAATCCCGGGATCCGGAAATCCAGGGATCCGGAAATCCAGGGATCCGGAAATCCAGGGATCTGGAAATCCAGGGATCCGGAAATCCAGGAATCCAGAAATCAAGAAACCCAGGGATCCAGAAATACAGGGATCCAGAAATACAGAAATACAGGGATCCATAAATCCAGCTATCCATAAATCCAGGGATCCAGAAATCCAAGGATCCATAAATCCAAAAAATCCAGGGATCCAGGAATCCAGAAATCCAGGGCTCTGGAGATCCAGCAACCAAGGAGGAGGAGGAGGGAAGAATCTTAGTCAGTCATAATGTATAAACACTGGTGTAACCCGACAATTGTTATTTAAAAGACAATTTAAGCCAAGAAAATCGATCTTTACTAGTCCACATTAGGACTTCAAATATTTTCCATTCATAAACAGTCCTTTAATCATACTATTGAGTGCGTTACAACTTACAGTTCGTTACACTTTACTGGCTGCTATAGTTTACCGTCTGTTCAAGCTTACTGTGAACAGTTTACTATCCCTTACATCTCAGTGAATTCTTAAAACCTCACGTCAGACATGCATATAAAAATGTTCCATTCTTTCCTTTATTTACAGAAATGTTCCAAGGGATGAAAATAGGCAGAATACATTAATTCTGAAAATAATAAATACTTCATCCTAGCGAACTCAAAATAACACAGAACCAGGAAGTGTACGGACACGGAGACCTGACGCCAGTACCGGGATGACCATGGCTGAAGGTGGGAAATAGGCCGATGTGTGACCTGACTTCCACTGTGTAAATGTACAGAGTTCGAGTGATGCCTACTCTCTACTTTTAAAATGACTGACAATAGAGAAGGAAAGGCGCACTCTGCAGAGCAAGCTTTTACTGGGACAGCGATTCTCTGCGTGTTGAGCTTTATCAAGTCTCAGTTTTATAAATCTCTTCATTGAGCTTCATAAAGCTTGTTCTGCGACATATATCTATATTTTGCTTTCAGACTCATTTCTACTACCTTTATGTCTACTCTGTAAATGTTAAATTTCCTAGTAATATTTATGGTTCTGCTGTTGATTTCCCAGGAAATCACTCCCAGCACTTGTCAGTTCTAGATGATCCATCTCAGGCTCCCGAGGGAGTGTCGTGGTTGTTGCTGATTGGCAGTCATTGGCTACGATCGTTACCAACATCCTAGGGCAGGGGAAACACCAGGTTTTCATTGGTGGGGTCTTCAGTCTGGTCACTGTAGCACATTCATTGTCCCAGCAGCACTGACATAAGCTCATCTCGACTTGCCAGATGTTCTACTGGGAATGCAATCGCCTTGACAAATCACAGCTACATCAACTCTCCAGCTGGAGCTGGCCATCGCCAACACAACATTCTTCAGATTCAGCTGGGGGAAAATGATCAGGTCGTCATCGTGCCATCGTCAGTACAGACGGCATCTATGGTCTCACCTCCTCAGTGATGTTGGAATTCTCTCCAACACTCCCGTCTTCTCAGGTTCAAACTCCACCTTTGGGCATCAGATCGAGCGCTGTGGAGGCTCTGAAGCTGGCTCTTTGAGATGTAGATGACTCCGCTGCACTTCGAAGAATCAGTATTTATGGGGACTCGCTAAGCCCGTAGGAATCATACAGTACCTGAGAAATAAGAGGTTATCAGGTTTGAGCCAAGAAAGGGGAATGTAGCTCTAATTGCTTTGATGAAGAGCCTTCATCAGCCTCTTAAAGGGGTAGCTCCAAAATGCTTCTGACATTCGGTTACCTAATCAAATCGACTGGATTGCCTGTTGATGTTGACTGGCGCACCTTATTATTTACCGAGAGGGGATAGTAGCCATTTCCAGAATAAACAATGGGAGTAGACATAATAGGAGCGGGCACAGTGGGAGCAAACGTAAGGGGTGTCTGGGTATTCTGTAGTTGGTAGACAAGCTATGGTGTAACACACACGCACACCCACGCTCGTGCACACGCACACACGTGCGCACGCACACACGTGCGCACTCACACACACACACACACACACACACACACACACACACACACACACACACACACACACACACACACACACACACACACACACACACAGTATCCTTGTCTGAGGCAAAGATCTGACATAACAAAATGAGTGAGAGGTTTGATGTAAATTGTCTAGGGAAGAACTTCACGAAGGAGGCCATGTAGCAGCAGTAGTAGCAGCAGCAGCAATGTATGTGCTCTTGTAGACGTGGCCGAGGGCGGTGCAACGCTACTGTCATCACTGGGTGGCTTCATGGGCCACTTCGTCATGAGGGGGATGAACTGCTGCCAGAAACACACCCTGTAGGCAGGGAAAGATGTGATCAGATGAAAGTTGGCAGGGGAAAACATGACCTATGAGAAATGTACACTAGTGCTAACAACATAAAAAGAAGTGCAACCAAGAAAGTCAGTGCGTCACCAAGGACTGTGTCTCAGGATAACCCCGAGTCAGTGCGTCATCAAGGACTGGCTTTTATTTCCATTGTGGTCCTTCAATCTTGTCCCCCAGGATGCGACCCACACCAGTCGACTGACACCCAGGTACCTACTTGCTGCTAGGTTAATGGGACAGCAGGTGTAAGGAAACAGGCCCAGTATTTCCACCCATATCGGAGATCGAATCACGGTCACTCAGTGTATGTGTGGCGAGAGCACTGTCAACCAGGTCACGGGACACCGTGGGGCAAGGGTAGTAGTACTACCATTAATTATCCTACTTTCTTTTTCTTGACCTCTCCTCACTAATAGGATTGAAAAGCCAAAATCTCAAGTGTGTACACGTGTCTTAATTTTGCATTCTGTCGGTATTGCCATACCTTCACCCTAATTATCAAAAGGATAATGGAAACCTGGTGCTACTATCTAATATGCCACAAAAATTTACAACCCAGCAACCGAATTTATCATAAAAATTGGGAGAGCTTCACAGGAGACCTATTTTGGCTATGAGCAAGGAGTAATCTCCGCCTTGCTCTACCTCACAACACTCACATGCTCGCCTTTATTCCTTTGTTTCACTCTCGTCTCGTGTTTCTTATCTGACAGACAGACGGAAATATAAAGGAATATTATACTTTATTTTATATTTTTCTTTCATGTGGGTTAACACATTTACTTATCAATGTTTACGACGCTCATAACATCTTTGAAAGCGCCTGCGTTACCGTCTGTCGGAGGGTAATGAAGGCAGCCGAGAGAAGAGAGCAAAAGAAATGTGTCAATTCATCAATCAAGACGCAATTTTGGAAGAATTAGAGGCGTAGTGTGTAAAGAACTTCCAAGCTGCACACTCAAATCGCCATCTGGAGTGACACCATGGTGTCAATAAAGCACCTTTGCTTCTCCTTGTCTAGTGTAGTGTTGGGATGTAGCGACCATTGGTATAGCCGCAACCTCTAGTATGTGTTATGCTAATGGACAATGCCAATGGACCCCAATGGAAATTAGTCACTGACTTTTTTGGGTTATTCTAGGTTCTCTACACACATGTTATGTATGACAATCTATGTAACTGTATTTGTGTATACCTGAATAAACTTACTTACTTACTTACTAACATGGCCCTTATGGCGTGTGACACCATGAACAGCACAAGCGTGAATCACCCAGCTCTCACCCCCTCAGGCCAGTAGGCCTAATAGGCGTCAGTTTAAACAGGGTATTCGAGGAGGCCGGAGCGTAATTTCTCGTTAATTAATGATCAAGAAAAGGTTTACTTTATCTTAATGTCTGCCACAAAATGAGCCCACACGTTGCACGTCTTGGGGCAGCACATATTCAAAGCCTAGAACAACAGTTAAGCAAATTTAGAAGCCGATACACAAAGGTGTACCAGTTTGAGGGTGCACATGGGATGAGGAGATGGTGAGGGACAAAAAAGTACATTACCGTGACTGGAACAATATACAAATAACCCGCACATAGGAGAGAGGAGCTTACGACGACAGTCACAGTGTAACTTTGTAAATGGTCCAAGCCGGACTGAAACGTCGTCGTAAGCTCCTCTCTCCTATGTGAGGGTTATTTGTGTATTGAAGTGATGGTACTGAAGACATGTACAGTAAGGTATCAGCAGCCACACGCTAGTGGCGATGAGTCAGGTGCTCTGCCAGGGGCACCTGACCGTGATAGAGCTCAGTGCGCTTAATGAGCCACTGAGTGTCTCATATGAGTAGAGATTTCAACAGGTCACTGTAAGGGTTGCACTGAGATCCTTCCCAAAGAAAGTGATGGTAATTGACACCTTCTAAAAATGAGATACGGGAAATAATGTATCCTTAAAAAAAAAAAAAAACAGAAGATGCCGTCAGTAAAGACGAGGGTTGGGAGTCACCTGTGATGGACGAGGCTGTGGTTGAGGGAGAGTCTCTCGCTCATCTCCAGATGGAGCAGATGACTCTGGTTGTAGACCGGCCACTTTAGTCCTCTCACCTCCGGCACCCTGCTGAGAGAACATCTGCCTCAGCAACACTCTCTGGCTCAGTCCCTGGATCTATTAGGTGCCTCTGTAATCTTTTCACTACCGCTCACGGGATGGCTATAACACGTATAATAAGGCTATTAAATGACTCAGCAACACATGGTACACACGCACGCACACACACACACACACACACACACACACACAAGGGATGGGTAGACTGCATTTTCTTGGACTGTAGCAAGACCTTCGAGAGTACCGCACAAGAGATTGGAGCAAAATATAGAGGAGCAGGCAGGAATAACAGGGCAAGCACTACAATGGATCAAGGAACTCCTAATATAAAGGAAACTAGTGATGATCCGTGGAGAGGTGTCAGAATGGGTGAATGTGCGAAGAAGCCCTGTTTGAATATATTAACTAATGCGAAGAATACAAGCGAACAAGGATCAGGAAACGCTACAAATGCATCTGGACTGCAGGCCTGGTCATACAAATGGCCCCTGGAAATTAACCCCACCAAGTGTAAAATTATGAGGTTTGGGGAAGGACAAGAAGGCCGCAGAGGACAGGCTCGGAAGTCACGGCTGTACCCCTCACTCATGGGAAAGTACCCCGAGGTGATTTATCATACCAAGCATATCCCCTGAGCAGCACATCAGCCAAATAATTGTTGTATCAAATGTGCATCTAACAAGCCTAAGAATGGCTTTTCGACATTTAAGTACCAGTCATTCACGACAGTGTACATAGTGCACATCAGGCCCGTATTGGAGTATGCAGCGCCGTTATGGAATCATCATCTGGTCAAATATGTCAAGAAATTGGAGAAAGTGTAGAGGTTTGCAACAAGACTAGTCCCAAAGCCCAGGAGTATGTCTGATGAAGAGAGGTTAAGAGACCTCAACCTGAGGACAATGTAGAATAGGGACTAGATGATAGCAATGTACAAAATGCTAAAAGGAACTGACAGGTGACTCGAGTCAGAATGTTTGAGAGATGGAAAAAAGAAGCACGAGGACACAGCTGAAGTTGAAAACTGAGATGAGTCAGAGGGATGTTAGGAAGTATTTCTTCAGTCTTAAAGTTGTCAGGAAGTGGAACAATCTGGAGAATGAAGTGGCAGAGGCAGGATCCATACACAGCTTTAAGAAGAGGTACGATAAGGCTCTTAGAGCTGGGGGAGAATGAACCTAGTAGAGGCCAGCGAAGTGGTAGGACCAGGAGCTGTGAATAGACTCCTGCAACCACATATAGGAGAGTACACACACACACATTGGAAAATAAGCGAAATATTGGAAAAGGCTTCTGTGACTAACAGTAACTCGGGTTACGATAAGAAAAATTTCTTAAAAGTCACAAAGAACATGGAAGGCTGTGAATCAGTCAATAAATAAATGCTATCAACAGGGATAACGAGTGGCCATATATAAGGAAAACGTGGAGCCGAAGGGATACTGACTTTTTTTTTTTACAAAGAGTTGAAGAACTTGAAAGATAGAAAGTTTTACAGCCGATGCAAATAAAAAAATGCGATGAACTTTATTAATAAAGACGGGACATCACGTGAGTATCTCTGCTCCTGAAGCTCCAAACAGTTAATTAAAAATAAATGAGATCTCAAGAGAGACAGGTTTACATACCCGGTATGGGCGAAGCTGACGAAGAGCGCCATGAAGGTGGCGGCGACGGTGCGGTCGTGGGGACTTCGTAGGGTGTTCTTCAGGCCCAGGAACGGCTGGCCAAACATGAACTGCAGTTCACTCTCGTGGTAGGAACCTGCAAGTTACCAGGAACCTGCACCCTCTATTTCAACGACACAGAATGCGATACATAGCAGCAGATCAACACTATTGTGAGTCGCTTTCTGAAGGTGGTGGGTAGTATACCGTATCTAAGGCCAGACTTTGAAATGAGCTGAAGTAGGATAAAAGTTCTTAATTAATAGGCTTCTAAAGTTAGCATAGCAAAAAACTTGGAGTTACTTACCTATCCAGTCCTGGTCGCCGACACGGACATCGTCAGGAGAGGCGTAGGAGAACTCAGCGAAGTAGAGGTTGGTCCAGCGGCTGAGCAGTCCTGCCTCCTCCACACAAGGCACGCGCAGACCAAGGTCAGAGATCAGCTGCAAAAAATATTATGTTATTTACAAACTGCGAATAACTAGCTGAAGGTCTGATATTGACTGGAAAAGAGAAATGAGCTCACATGTTCTCCTGGAATGGACAAACATCACTGGCAAATCGGTTGTTTTAGCTGAAACATCGCTATGAACCGGTTGAAGAGGTGCTAGCCGAAACTTTACATGTAAACTGGATGTTGAACTGTTAGTTGAAACAGGAAGTAGGAAAACCTCACCACGTATAAAACCTAAGCAAGACAGTGTCAAAACAACGAAACCAGGTAACACCAATGAAAAACATTTAGAATCCAAACCCGATAAAACTTTAACATCTGTGTGTGCAAAATTATGATGAAATGGGACACTGACCTAGGCTATTGACCTTGATAAGCCACTGGGTGGGACACTGACCTCAGCCATGACCTTGATAGGAACCACTGGATGGGGAGCGGCGTTGGTGGCGTGGTGACCGTGGAGGTAGAGATAGGCGGCGCGGACGGCGTGAGTGACGGAGGCCAAGGGAAGGGCGTCCAACTCCGGATATTTCTGCTTCATAAGCATGTCCATCCACTCTTCGGCGTCAGTTAGGCTTATGTTGTTGTTTCCTGCACCAAACACGCATCCTCTTACATGCTAGTACATTGATTCTAAGCGTTGTTTTACCCCTATGAGAATAGCATTCTCCCACGATTATAATAATAACTATGCATTAGTACGTGAATCTTATTAGACGTCTCCTCGTCCTACACAGAGATTCACCATCTCCATATCAAGTCTTTGGCATAGATTTCACAAAGCTCTGGGTAGGGCGAATCGGCTAAAGTTTTCCCTAGACTCGTGACTGGTATTTACTTTTCCTAAACCAGATGCTACAAAAGCCGTGGTTGGTATTTACTCTTCTTAAATTTGATACTACAAGCGTCGTACTTGATACTTACTTTTCCTGAACCAGATGGAAACCTCGTCTCTGGTGAGGGTCATGATAAGTGGCACGGGAGGCACAGAGCCCTTCTCCAACACGCTCCTCGGGCTCTGTGGCAGGAACACATTAGGAAGGTCGCCCTCCACCACTGGAGCGAAGGCCAGCCATAGGCCGTCCATCAAGTTGTTCTTTTCATATACCTGGCGGGAGTAGGATGACGGGTTAGTGAGGCAGAAGCTTCCCAGTTGAATAAAGAAGAATCCTGAAGGGTCATAGAGGAAGGTGGATGCAAAATCAATCAGATTCAGTCCAATAAACTCCAGTTGAGTCCCTGGTACAGTGGGAAAGGGAACTGGATGTGAAGGCCACAGAATATCTAACAGAAAAATGCTGGGAGGCGGAGGAACTCTTACCCAGAAGTAAATCTGTCTATCTGGCCAGCAAACAGCCTAATTAATGGTGGACTGTGTGGTTGATGGTATGGGTATGTGGTGGATGATGTGGATGTGTGGTACATGATATGGGCGTGTAGCAAATGGTGCTGGCGTGTGGCTAATGTCAGGGCGTGTAGTTAATAATTTAGATATGATGGTGTGGAAGTGTGGTGAATGGTGTGGGAGTGTAGTAAAAGTATGAATTGTCTTGCCCCAATGTATATTCTAATACATTCATTGTAATTGAAATACCTGCGGCATGTACTCCTGTTTTTTTACATTTAAATAGATGAGTTTGGCCAGTCAGACAAGCCTGTGTGCCACAAATATCTGTCAACGATGATAATTGAGACATTAGAGAGGTTGTTATTAGAGTTGTACAATAATTAAATTGTATATAAAATTCGCCACAATGCCATAATTAAGAAGTCTTGCTGGAGTTCATACCAGTCTGAAGGTAGACTGTATCTATGACCGTGTTCTGTGTAGTGAGTAGTGCGTTATGTGAATACAATAATAATGTGAAGCGAGTACAGCCTGTGACCTGCACGAGCGAATCATTAACGTTTTTCTCAGGAGAAAACTTTAAAGAGACCTTCCACCTGGGATTACTCAGCCCTTTAGCACGTTTAACATAAATTTTGAAATTCAGGTTAGTTGCAATTTAAGAAAATTTATAGATCATTAACAATTTGTTTAGTTTTTGCTTTTGAGATTAGCATATAGTATTTCCCTGGCAAGCTGTGAGCTTTAATATTAGATTAAAGACAATACACTTGTAAAGTGAACTTTGTATTAAGTTTCATTATATTATTTTTGCGTATCTGTCGTACCTCATTTCTAAAGAAGAAATAGTTATTTGCAAGATGAGTTTGGTGTAGAGGTGTGACTGATAGTGTGGACGTGTGGCTGATAGTGTGAACGTGGAAACCTACCTGGTTGATGGTGCTGGCGTCGGCCAGCCTGAGGCAGTCGACCAGTGCCTGAGAAGGGGTCTGGGGGCAACCCACGTCAGCTGCCAGCTTCTGTGCGAAGTGTTGTGGGCGTGTCTGTAAGGACCAGGGTGCCAGCGAGCATCCAGACAGTGCCACCGCCCGCGTGAACAGCCCTGGGATACGGCACACACACACACATCAGTAAAAATAAGAGAAAATACATCAGAGTACATGGGAAATAAAGCTAACAGAAATAATTTGAGACTACGTATACCCAAATTATTCCCTGGGAAAATTAACTGCCGTCTGCGCTACTGCTTGATCTAAATGTTTACCGTCTGCAATAGGGGAAAAAAGCACACGTTGCAAAACCTGTTTTCATTGGGACAACGTATATTTGGGCAACGTTTTGCACTGTGTAATGTTTTATCAAATTATGGCTTGAAGAAGCTCTGCTGAGTGCAACTCGTACTTCCAATAAAATTTGGTCATGCAGCAACAGAAACTAGCAGGTACATTGTCCATCATAATAAGTAAGTTTATTCAGGTATACACAAATACAGTTACATAGAATTATACATAGCAGCATATGTGTAGACAACCTAGGATAACCCAAAAAAAGCCAGACAGAGTGACTTATTTCCATAAGTAAAACTTGTATATACATATAAAGTAACAAGAACAGTAGACTTCAAAATACAATCACGCTTATGACTAGCTTTAATTAAGTTCCTTTCACACTTCAGCATGGACAGAGATCTGAAATATAAGATATGAAATGCTATGTGCGTGAGCTAGGAGAAAAGTTCAGCTACAATAATAATAATAATAATAATAATAATAATAATAATAATAATAATATTTATTTCTACAAGTACATGATACAACTTATACATACCATAGCTGACATCAGTGACATACTACATGGAAAGCTCCTTGTTATGCAGAGCATTTTAGGCAAATTAGGTTAATTTTGTCCCCAGGATGCGACCCACACCAGGAGGCTAACATCCAGGTACCTATTTTCTGCTAGGTGAAAAGGGACAGCAGGTGCCCGTAATGCTATGCATATAAGTGGCTTTGGCATGCTGCTCCTACCTGTATTTTTTGTACCTCTGTATGTATGCTAAATTTCTAAATAAATAAATAAATAAATAAATAAAAAGAAAACACGCCCAAATGTTCTCACCCGTACCAGGGATCGAACCAGGGATCCCAGTGTGTGAGTTGAGTGTGCTACCAACCAAGCTACGGGATTCAATCTCTCCAGCTATTAGTGAAATTAAAAATAATTTTATTTGTGCTAATTTTCACGCCTAATATTCTATAATTTTTTTGTGAAAATAAGTGAACGGTAATCACCAGTAGACAAAATAACAATCTTGGAAGATGTATGGAAGTTAGTTCCAATGTCCTCCGGTGGCTGTTGGGGCGCTACCCTCACCTGATGTTCGATATGTGCCATTGACAGACACATCTGGTCTGCCACTGGCAGACGGCCCGGGCAGGTGTGGGGAAGAACGCGAAAACTGAAGTTCCCTTCACTATAGTAACTCAGGCATTAATTAGGTCAAGACTAAAGAGGTGGACCGTCTGCTGCCACGGACAGGCCGCTGTGTCGCGAACCTTGTCTGCGACACTGGCTCCGATACACACACCTCCCCTGTTGTCTCCTGCCACGGACACACTCCCTCTCACCCGAGCCACCAGAGTGCGATCAGAACACCCGGGTGTCAACAACAGATAAAATATCGAACCCCAGGAAAAGGAATATGACACCGTAGTTGTCTCTCCTATAACATACACTCTTATGAGACTCTCACATCTCCAGGGTCAATTTATAGCTTCAACGAGCTTGTCTGAACCGGTGGATTAGACTTAAAATTCTCAGGATAAGAAAACTGTGGGCGAAACATTACGAAAAATTGAAACGTGTGAGTGGAGAGATGGTGGCTCGTGAAGGAAAAAAAGGTGGCCCGGTGGCCTGGTGGCTAAAGCTCCCGCTTCACACACGGAGGGCCCGGGTTCGATTCCCGGCGGGTGGAAACATTCGACACGTTTCCTTACACCTGTTGTCCTGTTCACCTAGCAGCAAATAGGTACCTGGGTGTTAGTCGACTGGTGTGGGTCGCATCCTGGGGGACAAGATTAAGGACCCCAATGGAAATAAGTTAGACAGTCCTCGATGACGCACTGACTTTCTTGGGTTATCCTGGGTGGCTAACCCTCCGGGGTTAAAAATCCGAACGAAATCTTATCTTATCTTGAAAAAAGGGAGATAATTCTTTTTTATCCAGCAAAACTGAGTACTTGGGTACTTTTTTTTCACTGAAAGGAATGGGTACATCATCAGTGTTGAAATTGATATTGAAATGTTCATTTCTCTGTAAAGATTACAATATGTGGTTTAAATATTATAAAATATTAATTACAAAGAAGGCCATTAGCATGCCTAGGCATTTCGGGCTATCCTACTCTATGATTTTTTTTTTATTAAGGTTCAATAAGCAGTTTCAAGTTTTTGTAATTGTCGTACATCGTAAGTTGAGAGTAAATTAACCTAGAAGATAAGATAAGATTTCGTTCGGATTTTTAACCCCGGAGGGTTAGCCACCCAGGATAACCCAAGAAAGTCAGTGCGTCATCGAGGACTGTCTAACTTATTTCCATTGGGGTCCTTAGTCTTGTCCCCCAGGATGCGACCCACACCAGTCGACTAACACCCAGGTACCTATTTGCTGCTAGGTGAACAGGACAACAGGTGTAAGGAAACGTGTCGAATGTTTCCACCCGCCGGGAATCGAACCCGGGCCCTCCGTATGTGAAGCGGGAGCTTTAGCCACCAGGCCACCGGGCCTGGTAAAGTCAAAGACCGCAACATGTTTCCCTCTGAGTTCTTATGTTGTATGAATATATCAGTTCAAGTTAAGGTACGACAAGATTTTGCTCGAATTTTTAACCCATAGGATAAGCCACCCAGGATAACCCAGTAAAGTCAACGCGTTATCGAGGATTGTCATTTGGGATCCTTTTATCTTGTCCCTCCAGGATGAGATCCACAACAGTTAAGTAATACCACCAAGGTACCTACTTACTGCTGGGTGAACCGGGGAATCGAACCACGGACACTCAGCATGTGGTGAATGTGACCTGACCTGACTAGGTTGGGTCAGTGGCTTAAGCCGGTAGGAGACTTGGACCTGCCTCGCATGGGCCAGTAGGTCTGCTGCAGTGTTCCTACTTTCTTATGTTCTCTTACGTTCTTATGGTGCGCTAACAACCGAATGTACCAGTTGATTTAATAAGAACATAAGAAAGAAGGAACACTGCAACAGGCCTACTGACCCATGCGGAGCAGGTCCATGTCCCCCCCGGATTAGACCAATGACCCCCCCCCGGATTAGCCCAATGACCCACCCAGTCTGGTCATCTTCACTCAAGGGTGGAGCACTGCACCAGACTCAGCAGCACAAGCTAGTCAGGTCCAACTCACACCCACCCACACCCACTCATGTATTTATCTAACCTATTTTTAAAACTACACAACGTTTTAGCCTGAATAACTGTACTCGGGAGTTTGTTCCACTCATCCACAACTCTATTACCAAACCAGTGCTTTCCTATATCCTTTCTGAATCTGAATTTTTCCAACTTGAAACCATTGCTGCGAGTCCTGTCTTGGCTGGAAATTTTCAGTACGCTATTTACATCCCCTTTATTTATTCCTGTTTTCCATTTATACACCTCGATCATATCCCCCCTAATTCTACGCCTTTCAAGAGAGTGCAGATTCAGGGCCCTCAGTCTATCCTCATAGGGAAGATTTCTGATGGTATAAACCTTGGTAATAAATACCGACAAGTTGGTTTAGAAAGACACGTAAGCAAACACTATGACATATTTATTAGAAAACGTTTCGGTCCTGGGACTTTGATCACTTCTAACATACAGAGGTAGAAAGGCATTATATATATAGGCGGAGAGTGAGGTGTGACGCACGTGACCTGAGGAATGTTCTTATGTTCTTATGACATTCCTCAGGTCACGTGCGTCACACCTCACTCTCCGCCTATATATATAATGCCTTTCTACCTCTGTATGTTAGAAGTGATCAAGGTCCCAGGACCGAAACGTTTTCTAATAAATATGTCATAGTGTTTGCTTACGTGTCTTTCTAAACCAAGATTTCTGATACATGGGATCATCTTTGTCATCCTCCTCTGTACGTTTTTCAGAGCATTTATATCCATTCTGTAATACGGTGACCAGAACTGAGCAGCATAGTCTAAATGAGGCCTAACCAAGGATATATAGAGTTGAAGAACAATCTGAGGGCTTCTATTATTTATACTTCTAGATATGAAGCCAAGAATTCTGTTAGCTTTATTGCGAACACTAATGCACTGTTGTCTTGGTTTTAAATTACTGCTAACCAGAACTCCTAAATCCTTTTCGCAATCATTAGTATTAAGATCTACATTATTTAGTTTATATGTGGCATGGTTATTTATCTGTCCAACATTTAGAACTAATCTGCAGAGAGGGGATTTACTCTGTGAAGGTGACATATTGAGGTGACTTAATCTGTGGAGAGTGATTTACATTGTAAAGGGGTGACTTACTCTGGAAAAACGTGACTTATTCTGGGGAGAGGAGACCAGGAAGAGGTAACTTACCATGGAAAGAGGAGACTAATCCTGGAGGACAAGTGACTCCCTTGGGAGAGATGACTTACCCAAGGGAAAAAGAGGCAAACTTACCAGGTAGACCCCAAGACTTGCCTAACATGGGCCAGTAGACCTGCTACAGTGCTCCTCCTTTATATTATTATTATATCCACTTGGAAGTACTGTACCCGTAAAGGCCATATAGAGCCCCAGAGAAAGGAAGACAATCAGGTCTGACCCGAAGACCTGATTGCATCAAATGCCCCTTCACCGGCATGAAGGTACCCTGAAGAGAACTCACCTCTGGAGAGTGGAGAAACGAGATGAAGGATGACGGAGGCGGCACCTGCGGAGTTCCCGACCAGCAGGAACTTGTCCCGGTGAGCGCCGAAGGAGTGTGCATGTTTACGGACCCACAGCATGGCCAGCCGCTGGTCCAACAAACCCCAGTTGCCCAGCGATGAGGCGTCTCCCGTTGATAGGAACCCTAAAGTAAAAAAAGGCTTTTCTTATGTAAAAGGACGGCAATTATCAGTTAAGTGAGATATGGATAACTTTTTCAAGTAGGTCCATAGGCCAACATTCAGATGACTAGTGCACATATACATATTTTTTTAATAATGGTATAAGATCATATTTAATTAGAAGTTTTATTGTTAAATCCCTTACACTGAACATCTGAACATGTGTGTGGAAAATACTGTATATATTTTCCGGAAATACAGTATTTATATGTAAATAGATGGCCATACTGTATTTAATAATATTTATGTCATAGAAAACGGAAAGCCTGCATCTGGGCAGAAGGAGACTCGTCATCTTGGGTTTTGAATTTGTATTAGAAACGTTGTAATGGGAAGAATTTTTCGTGCTCTAGAGGTTAAAATTGGATTGACACCTCTCAAATAGGAGGCGAAATTGTTGGATGTGCATTCCTGCATAACTTGAGATATCAGACGACTGGACAAGACAGCTCCAGGAACCTCAGATAAGCTCTCTAGATTTGTGTATAATTCTGGCCAGCATTATTTTCATAAATTTAGTTAGTGAGGCTTTTCTGAGTATGATACAACTTAATATCCAGTCAAATTGGTGAGTGATATTAAGATATATTTTCCTTCTGTTATATATATATATGTATTTATATATAATCATTTTTAATTTAATATACAGTCCACAAATTTATATATTTACCAGAATTCCTGGTGATGTATAATTCATTTAATTAATAGGTCCAGAGCAACTTGTGGATATGACAGTGGTAGGTATCGAAGGGGGACATTTTTGCGATCTAGGTGTCCCAAATTCCTAGTCTAACTGATAAATAATAATTATCTATGCTCATTTATTGTTATGTACATAATTATACATACAGATAAATGCAATTTTCCACAATGTGTGTCGTTGGTTGGTTAATGGCGTTCAAAACCTATCGACTACACTTGGGTTACTCAGGATTCACAGTAACCTGTTCATCACCAGACGAGAAATACTTTAATCCCTAAAATGCGGATTAAAGAAAACTCTGAACAAATACACACTGAGAGAAATACACCTTACGGTATGAAAATACCAGATATTTCAAAGAGAATTTAATAAACATTTTTTTTAGAAATCGCAACCATGAACTAAATACTTCAATATATCAAAATAAATATATATGTCCAAGACATCTTTTATTTCGGCGGCAACAACAAAATTCAAATTTCCGTTTTCATATTATATAATAGAAATATTAAAGTCTGGCCTAGTCGTGTCCAAGGCTAACTTCGTCAACCAGGAGGCTATACTAAAAGAAAACGAATAATCGTAGCGCCACCGATAACTAAACTAAACAAAACGAGTAGGACGCTGTAATGGCGACGACATAGGAGATTTTCTTCTAATAATCGGATTATTAACCCAGAGAGGCTAACCCAGGAAAACCAAAGAAAGCCACTATGTCGGTCTTATTTCCGCTGGGGGTCATCTGATCTTCCATATGATGTAATCCACAATACGGCAAACACACAGGTACTTTTTTACTTCTAGGTGAAGACATAGGTGCAAGGAAACACGTTAAATTTCCAGGTATGCTGGATTCAACTCAGGTCCTTGAGATACGAGCCAAGGTACCTCCTAAGTGAGATACGAGAAACGTGTATTGGCTTATGTTAAATGAAATATTCCACTAGTTGTATGTTATGTGTCTATACAAAGTAGATAAGAACAGTCAATGACAACATTGTGTTTACATACGTCGCAGCTGAAGAAAGTAAATGAACACATGTGCAACTAATGTGATATTTTATTGTGGAAACGTTTCGCTCTCCTGGAGCCTTGTCAAACAGTTACAGAAGCTCCTGGAGAGCGAAACGTTGCCACAATAAAATGTCACATTTGCTGCACATGTTTACCTGGAGTTTTACCTGGAGTTTACCTGGAGAGAGTTCCGGGGGTCAACGCCCCCGCGGCCCGGTCTGTGACCAGGCCTCCTGGTGGATCAGAGCCTGATCAACCAGGCTGTTGCTGCTGGCTACACGCAAACCAACGTACGAGCCACAGCCCGGCTGGTCAGGAACCGACTTTAGGTGCTTGTCCAGTGCCAGCTTGAAGACTGCCAGGGGTCTGTTGGTAATCCCCCTTATGTGTGCTGGGAGGCAGTTGAACAGTCTCGGGCCCCTGACACTTATTGTATGGTCTCTTACCGTGCTAGTGACACCCCTGCTTTTCATTGGGGGGATGGTGCATCGTCTGCCAAGTCTTTTGCTTTTGTAGTGAGTGATTTTCGTGTGCAAGTTCGGTACTAGTCCCTCTAGGATTTTCCAGGTGTATATAATCATGTATCTCTCCCGCCTGCGTTCCAGGGAATACAGGTTTAGGAACCTCAAGCGCTCCCAGTAATTGAGGTGTTTTATCTCCGTTATGCGCGCCGTGAAAGTTCTCTGTACATTTTCTAGGTCAGCAATTTCACCTGCCTTGAAAGGTGCTGTTAGTGTGCAGCAATATTCCAGCCTAGATAGAACAAGTGACCTGAAGAGTGTCATCATGGGCTTGGCAGCCCTCGTTTTGAAGGTTCTCATTATCCATCCTGTCATTTTTCTAGCAGATGCGATTGATAATGTGTCCCTTTACCTAACATATTGTTGGTAATTCTACCAACAACCTATAACCTATGCCTAGTTTCTGCCGGAAATGCTCTGCATGCCCGTGGCTTTCTTTGTGATTAACAATATTTTATTACATGTAAAATTTCTTTATTTTATATTGCAGAAACAATAAAGTTCGTTTGTTTAGGATGCAACTCACAGGCCACTAAGAGATGGGAGAGAAGTGGAGAGGGGTAACAGGCAAAGGGTGAAACAGTGGGGAAATAGGGTGTGGGTACCTAGCACGAGAGGGATAATAGAAAAATAATGAGTGGTCTACCAATCTTGATTGGAAGTAAGGTTTGATAGGACCTAATGCTCCCCAACCTCACAAAGATACAGTCCTGCATTTCTATTACAAAATATTTTTAAGCACAAAATACATAAAATGTTACTGTATGCTCCGTACAGGAGCCGTATATAGCTTTAAGAATAGGCATGATAGAGCTCACGAAACTAAGAGTGTGAACACAGTATCGGCCAGTCTGAGGGGCCGGTATCACGAGCTGAGACTCGGGTCTGCAAGCGCACGCACACACACACACACACACACACCCACACACACACACACACACACACACACACACACACACACACACACACACACACACACACACACACACACACACACATACACACACATACACAGGAAGAAGATCAAATACAGCCTCCATCACAACTTCCTATAGAAGCCTCCCAACCAGGTCAACCCCAGTGCAACCAAACACTCTAAACCAAAACACCCATGCCACATCCAATGCCCCCACCCACTACATTACAAACTCCACCCCCACAGCAACCACCCATACTTCCTTATCAGGTTTCCCACTTCCCCAACCCCAATACACCTCCCAGACCACAGTCTTAGAAAAGAAGTTGAAGGTGTGGTATACAAATGCAGATGGAATAACAAATAAGTGTGAGGAGTGGCATGAAAGAATCAAGGAGATTTCCCCAGACATAATAGCACTCACAGAAACAAAACTCACCAGAATAATAACAGATTCAATCTTTCCATCCGGATATCAAATCATCAGGAAAGACAGAGGGAGGAGAGGGGGAGGAGGAGTTGCACTGCTCATTAAAAACCAGTGGGGTTTTGAGAAAATGGAAGGAATGGATGGCACGGGCGAAAGGGACTACTTAGTAGGAACAATCCAGTCTGAGGGACATAAGGTGATAATTGCAGTAATGTACAACCCACCACAGAACTGCAGGAGGCCAAGAGAAGAATACGATGAGAGCAACAGAGCAATGGTCAACACACTAGCCAAGGTGGCCAGGAGAGCACACATGGGGGGAGCAAAGTTACTAGTTATGGGTGATTTCAATCACAAGGAGATTGACTGGGAAAACCTGGAGCCCCATGGGGGTCCCGAAACATGGAGAGCCAAGATGATGGATGTGGTACTGGAAAACCTCATGCATCAATATGTTAGAGACACTACCAGAGAGAGAGGAGAGGATGAACCAGCAAGACTGGACCTTGTATTCACCTTGAGTAGTTCGGACATCGAGGATATCATGTATGAAAGGCCCCTGGGAGCTAGTGATCATGTGGTTCTGTGCTTCGACTACATAGTTGAGCTCCAAGTGGAGAGAGTAGCAGGAATAGGGTGGGAAAAACCAAACTACAAAAGGGGGAACTACTCAGGCATGAGGAACTTCCTTCAAGACATTCAGTGGGAGAGGGAACTGACAGGAAAACCAGTGCAAGAAATGATGGACTATGTGACAACAAAATGCAAGGAGGCAGAGGAGAGGTTTGTTCCCAAGGGAAACAGAAATAATGGGAAGAACAGAACGAGTCCTTGGTTCACCCAAAGGTGTAGGGAGACAAAAACTAGGTGTACTAGAGAATGGAAAAGGTACAGAAGACAGAGAACTCAGGAGAATAAAGAGATTAGCCGAAGACCCAGAAACGAATATGCACAGATAAGAAGGGAGGCTCAGCGACAATATGAAAATGACAGCGTCGAAAGTCAAGACTGACCCGAACCTGCTGTACAGCCACATCAGGAGGAAAACAACAGTCAAGGACCAGGTAATCAGACTGAGGAAGGGTGATGGGGAATTCACAAGAAACGACCGAGAGGTATGTCTGGAGCTCAACATGAGATTTAAAGAAGTATTTACAGTGGAAACCAGTAGAACTCCAGGAAATCAGAACAGAGTGGTACACCAGCAAGTGCTGGATGAGATACATATAACCAAGGAGGAGGTGAAGAAGCTGCTATGCGAACTTGACACCTCAAAGGCGGTGGGACCAGACAACATCTCTCCATGGGTCCTTAAAGAGGGAGCAGAGATATTGTGTGTACCATTAACAAAGATCTTCAAGACATCATTTGAAACTGGGCAACTCCCCGAGGTATCGAAGATGGCAAATGTAGTCCCAATTTTTAAAAAGGGAGACAGACATGAGGCACTAAACTACAGACCTGTATCACTAACGTGTATAGTATGCAAGGTCATGGAGAAGATCATCAGGAGGAGAGTGGTGGGGCACCTGGAAAGAAACAAGTGTATAATTGACAACCAGCACGGTTTCAGGGAAGGAAAATCCTGTGTCACAAACCTACTAGAGTTTTATGACAAGGTGACAGAAGTAAGACAAGAGAGAGAGAGGGGTGGATCGACTGCATTTTTTTGGACTGCAAGAAGGCCTTCGACACAGTTCCTCACAAGAGGTTACTGCAAAAGCATGAGGATCAGGCACACATAACAGGAAAGGCACTGCAATGGATCAGAGAATACCTGACAGGGAGGCAACAACGAGTCATGGTACGTGACGAGGTGTCAGAGTGGGCGCCTGTGACAAGCGGTGTTCCACAGGGGTCAGTCCTAGGGCCTGTGCTGTTCTTGGTATATGTGAACGACATAACAGAAGGGATAGACTCAGAAGTGTCCTTGTTTGCAGATGATGTGAAGTTAATGAGAAGTATCAAATCGGATGAGGATCAGGCAGGACTACAAAGAGACCTGGACAGGCTACAAGCCTGGTCCAGCAACTGGCTCTTTGAGTTTAACCCTGCCAAATTCAAAGTCATGAAGATTGGGGAAGGGCAAAGAAGACCGCAGACACAATATAGTTTAGATAGCCAAAGACTGCAAACCTCACTCAAGGAAAAAAATCTGGGGGTGAGTATAACACCGAGCATATCTCCTGAGGCGCACATCAATCAGATAACTGCTGCAGCATACGGGCGCCTGGCAAACCTACGGATAGAGTTCCGATACCTCTGTAAGGATTCGTTCAAGACTCTGTATACCAAGACTGCTGCATACTGGAGTATGCAGCACCAGTTTGGAATCCACACCTAGTCAAGCACGTCAATAAATTAGAGAAAATGCAAAGGTTTGCAACAAGACTAGTCCCAGAGCTACGGGAATTGTCCTACGAAGAAAGGTTGAGGGGAATCGGCCTGACGACACTGGAGGACAGGAGGGTCAGGGGAGACATGATAACGACATATAAAATACTTCACGGAATAGACAAGGTGGACAAAGACGGGATGTTCCAGAGATGGGACACAGACACAAGAGGTCACAATTGGAAGTTGAAGACTCAGATGAATCAAAGGGATGTTAGGAAGTATTTCTTCAGTCATAGAGTAGTCAGGCCGTGGAATAGCCTAGAAAGTGACGTAGTGGAGGCGGGAACCATACATAGTTTTAAGGCGAGGTATGATAAAGCTCATGGAGCAGGGAGAGAGAGGACCTAGTAGCAATCAGCTAAGAGGCGGGGCTAGGAGCTATGAATCGACCCCTGCAACCACAAATAGGTGAGTACACACACACACACACACACACACCTAGAAAGGAATGAGCTTATACACGATTACCAGCATGGTTTCAGGGAGGGAAAATCCTGTTCCACAAACCTACTGGAGTTTTACGACAAGGTAACAGAAGTAACACAGTTGAGAGAAGGTACACTGCATTTTCTTAGAAGGCTTTCGACCCAGCTCCGCTCAAGATATTAGTACAAAAGCTAGATGAGCAGACAGGAATAATAGGATCACGGAATACCTGACAGGAAGGAAACAACGAGTGATGGTACGTGACGAGATGTCAGAGTGAGCGCATGTGATGAACGGGGTTCCACAAGGGTCAGTCCTAGGGCTGGTGCAATTTCTAGTATATGCGAATGACATGACGGAAGGGATAGAGTAGGAGGTGTCCCTGTTTGTAATGTGAAGCTAATGCGGAGAATTGAAGCGGACGAGGATCAGGCACGACTACAAAGGGATCTGGACAGGCTACAAGCTGGTCCAACAATTGGCTCCAGAAGTTTAACCCCACCAAGTGCAAAGCCATGAAAACTGGGGAAGTTCAGAGAAGACCGCAGAGGAGTACACGCTAGGGTAGGGGGCAAAGGATACAAACCTCACTCAGGGAAAAGGATCTTGGGATGAGTTCATACTGAGCACATCTCCTGAGACTCACATTAACCAAATAACTGCTGCAGCATATGGACGCATGGCAAACCTAAGAATAGCGTTTCGGCACAGGAGTAAGGAGTCACTCAGCACACTGTACACTGTACGTCAAGCCTATATTAGAGTACGCAGCACCAGTATGGAACTCACACCTAGTCAAGCACGTGAAGAAAAAGTACGAAGATTTGCAACAAGAGAGGGATTAGTACCAAACTTGCACACAAAAAATCACTTCCGATGAAAGCAAAAGACTCGGCAGGAGATACAACATTCCCCCAATGAAAAGTAGGGGTGCCACGAGTAAACAGACAACACAATAAGTGTCCGGGCCCAAGACTTCAGCTGCCTCCCAGCATACATAAGAGGGATTACCAATAGACCCTTGGCTGTCTTCAAGAAGGCATTGGACAGGCACCTAAAGTCAGTACCTGACCAACCGGGCTGTGGTTCGTACGTCAGTTTGCGTGCGGCCAGCAGTAACACCATGGCTGATCAGACTCTGATTCACCATGAGGCCTAGTCTCAGACCGTGCTGCGGGGGCGTTGACCCCCGGAATCTTCTCCAGGTAAACTCCAGGTAAGACTGGTCCCGGAGCGAAGGGGCATGTCCTATGAGGAGAGGCTAAGGGAAATCAACCTGACGACGTTGAAGGACAGGAGGGATAGGGAGGTCACGATAAATAAGATACTGAGAGAAACTGACAAAGTGGATAGGGACAGAATGTTTCAGAGACTGGACGCAGCAACAAGGGGTTATAACTGGAAGTTGAAAACTCAGATGAGTCACAGGGATGTTAGAAAGTACTTCTTCAGTCATAGAATTGTCAGGAAGTGGAACAATCTGGAGAGTGATGTAGTGAAGGCAGGATCCATACATAGCTTTAAGAAGAGATACGATAAAGTTCATGAAGCAGGGAGGGTATGGACCTAGTAGCTACCAGCGAAGAGGAGGGGCCATGAGCTGTGAATCGACCCATGCAACCACAAATAGGTAAGTACTCGCACACACACACACACACACACACACACACTGCTGGCTGTGTCATCATTATACCTCCCATCTACTATTACCTGTGATGTAGCAGAGTTAATGACCTACCAGAACCACCCACACAAACGTCCACCAAGCCCATCCACACCACGCCCACCTTAACTACATCCACCACTAATAAGTCCACCATGGGTGTTGTTGGGATGGGATGGCGCAATGGTAAAAAAAATTCTACCTTTCAGGAATATTTCTTATATCGGCTGGTGGAAGGTTGAAAACCCGTGAATCATGGTTGCAGTGGGTAGTAGTTGCTGTGGGTATGATTGATGGTCGTTGACGGAGGGGTGTGGTGAGTGATAGTTACGATATGTAGTAGTAGATACCAGTACCGTGTGGGTAATCTTTTTATCGTTATTTAATGTTAAACGACAATCACGTGTGTATTAAAGTTATTACCCAGCTTCCCCTTTAAAATTGCCTTCACCAAAAAATTTCATAGCGTGGAAGAAGCTCTCAGCGTAACGAGTTTACCGGAGGAAAGAAATATAAACATACACTTAACCTACATGTGTTGAGACTAGAATCATTCTTCGAGGCAACTCGCATGAGACGAGAATAATAACTAACGTTAACAATAATAAGAAATAATATATTATTATTGGGATGAGTTAAATTCGTAATGATCTGATATAATAAAAGGAAGGTTCACGACTGTGGTACCTCTATGGATGGTTTGCTGTCTATCAACCTGCTACCATATACAATTACAAACGTATGTCTGACAATTAAACTAGTTACGGAAGAACTACACTGGGTTAATAAGACAGGGGCCCAATACTTGGACCTTAACCCTCACAAAAACAAATGAGTACCACATACACTCACAAATACTATGGAGATGGCCTTTTCTCTATATGTTCTCTGTTCAACGTACGTGTATTCTATGTTGATTAAGTGTTATGACTTACCTCCAGAAAAATTGTTACAGGACACCTCATGAAGACCTTTCTCTGACGAAGACCACTAACGGCTCTTGTGAAGACTATTTTCACATCCACCATATCTCGTACATCCTTCCGTGTGGGAGTACTCACCGAAGGGACCGAGACGGTAGTTGATAGTGACCACGACGATGCCTTCAGAAGCGAGCTTCTCCCCCGGGTAGAGGCGGCCGCCGTTGGAGAAGAAGGAGCCGCCGTGAACGTAGAAGAGGACGGGCATGGTGTCGTTGGCGTCCTGGCTCCTGTCCCCATCTCCACCGTTGCCGGCGCCTTCTAGCTGGAAAGAATAGCCACATGACAAATGGATTTTACTTAGAGTCTATCTGTATCCTATCTAACCTGCTGTCTCACCTTCCACTTCACTATATAATACTTTTCTGGTCCTTAAAAATGTGAGAGTCCTGAAAGGTTAGGAGTTAATATGAGAACGAATACACAACCTCTCTCACCCCACGATATGCAACCCTTCCTCCCCATGATCTGAAAAATTAAGGTAGGCAGTATTTTTTTTTATAGAGATGTCAATGATATGAAATGAAAAGTGTGTACACAGTGACAGGGCCGTACAGCTGAATATTAAGTGTGTGGAAACTTCAGCCGTTGAGAGACACCTCCGGGCAAACTTTTCAGGAAATAGCGACCCGCTTCATTGTTGATAAGATATCTGAAATCTCGAGAGCGTATCCACATTTCGCATCGACAAGATGAATAAATTGATTTTTGCTTATGAAACTGCGACCCAATAATGGCCAATATTTTTTTTCTGATGGTAATAAGATACTTATTTTTTGAGATTGTATCTGCATATTTCATTGTGTATATTAGTTATATGAAGTAAAATATTAATACATAATACGAGTGTATTGTGATATCATGATATAAGTGCATTATCCGATATAATGCCCAGTGGTGCCTGATAAAGACCCATTGTGACCTCTGTAATCCCTTTTTTTACAAGATGAGTGTGGGGTGCACAGTAAACTAACAGGTCAGGTAGTAAGCTAATTAACCTAGTCTGCGTTCAATAAACAATGGTATGATCTGGGGTAAAGGGGGGGAGGGTTGTAAGTGTACTGCTCAAACACATTTTCTTACATGAACTTAATTAATGTGTATATTGCTGATAGGAAGGGGTAAATGAGAATTATTTTTAATTAGTATTGCTTGTACAGTTTTCCTTTATTTCAGTATAAAGACATTTTACATCTATCAGGTGTGTGCAGTGTAGTACGTGATATATTATGGTAACATGATGTCGGGTATAATATTGTGTAATCTTGTTTTCCACACACGTGTTGGGGGTTGTACTGAGTCATGTGAAGACGATTTTTTTCTAAAGGCAATGTAATACCTGAAATGTGTTTTGCTTATGAGGACATAATTGTTTTTATATGTGAAATATCTGACACTTTTTTTTTATTTATTGTAATGTGTGTTTTAAATAAAAAAATTAATCTAGTCCAACAAGAGGCTGCGTGAATTTAAGCCAGAAAAATCATGCGAATTAGGCGAGAGAGATGACTGGATTTCGAGAAATTAAATAATAATAATATAATGGATGGGCAACTTTTTTAAATTACATCTACGTTGGTTTAATTAACCAGGCGGTTTTATTAATTTGAAACAAAAATTACTAAGAAATACAGGAAGGTGAGCCTAAGTGTATACTGAACGTATACACTGGTTAATGTATACACTGGTTAATGTGTACACTGGTTAATATATATACTGGTTAATGTATACACTGGTTAAAGGTCCAAGTAGGACCCAAGCGTCGTCATAAGTGCAGGTTATTGTATTGTTCCAGTCACTGTATTGTGCCCCCCCCCCTTTTTTATATATTCTTTCTTTAGAAGTTCGTAAGGTTTTCTTGTCGTCTTACGCGTTCATGAGACAGAAAGAAATAATCATCTGTTGCGTCAGATTGTAAAACGTTTAATAGGCTTTCGTTAGGCTGTTAGACGCTACTCCCAAAACTGCTGCAGGAATTTTAGATGTTCCCCATTTACGATTTAAGATAAATATTGGTGCCTATGTTTTTGTATTCTGACGCCTGTACCATCACCCTCGTCCATTCTAACACCTGTACCATCACCCTCGTCCATTATGACACCTGTACCATCACCCTCGTCCATTCTAACACCTGTACCACCACCCTCGTCCATTATGACACTTGTACCATCACCCTCGTCCATTCTAACACCTGTACCATCACCCTCGTCCATTATGACACCTGTACCATCACCCTCGTCCATTATGACACCTGTACCATCACCCTCGTTCATTCTGACACTTGTACCACCACCCTCGTCCATTCTAACACCTGTACCATCACCCTTGTCCATTATGACACCTGTACCACCACCCTCGTTCATTCTGACACTTGTACCATCACCCTCATCCATTCTAACACCTGTACCATCACCCTCGTCCATTATGACACCTGTACCACCACCCTCGTTCATCCTGACACTTGTACCATCACCCTCGTCCATTCTAACACCTGTACCATCACCATCGTCCATTATGACACCTGTACCATCACCCTCGTCCATTCTAACACCTGTACCATCACCCTCGTCCATTATGACACCTGTACCACCACCCTCGTTCATTCTAACACCTGTACCGTCACCTTCGTCCATTCTAACACCTGTACCATCACCCTCGTCCATTATGACACCTGTACCATCACCCTCGTCCATTATGACACCTGTACCATCACTCGTCCATTATGACACCTGTACCGTCACCCTCGTCCATTATGACACCTGTACCATCACCCTCGTCCATTTTGACACCTGTACCACCATCCTCGTTCATTCTGACACCTGTACCATCACCCTCGTCTATTCTATGACCTGTGCCATCACTCTCGTCCCTTTTAACACCTTCCTTCAGGACCATCGCCTTCCTCTCGGGTATTCCTTGATCCAGTGGAGTACGTTTATCTTTATCCTTGACTCGTGTACTCACCTATACGTGGTTGCAAAGGTCGATTCACAGCTCCTGTTTGTGTGTGTTATAAAATCCTGGATGCTAATTAACATATGACTATCGTGCCACTGGAGGAGACAGGTGAACACTGAGAGAAGAAGTAATGATGTTGAGGGAACTGATGCATACACATGTCACCACTCACCACAACACTTATACACGAGAAACCTCTCTTACTTGCACAAACACAACCAACTTACACTCCCCCTCCCCACACACACACACACATACACTAGGCAAGACGTGTGGATAAGTCTCCCGTTGACATAGCAGTAATAGGTATATAGACGTCAGACAGCAACAGCTGACCAATATCCAGATTATCTGAATTACGCTAAAAGCCTAATAACAACAGTAATAATAATAATAATAACGAAGACAGTGCTTTGCTCCTGTAATTACAAATACGTACATAATCTCAAATACGTATTAAAGAGAGACAATCACATTTTTTTATTTATTTATTTATTTTTTTTTTTTTTTTTATTATCACACTGGCCGATTCCCACCAAGGCAGGGTGGCCCGAAAAAGAAAAACTTTCACCATCATTCACTCCATCACTGTCTTGCCAGAAGGGTGCTTTACACTACAGTTTTTAAACTGCAACATTAACACCCCTCCTTCAGAGTGCAGGCACTGTACTTCCCATCTCCAGGACTCAAGTCCGGCCTGCCGGTTTCCCTGAATCCCTTCATAAATGTTACTTTGCTCACACTCCAACAGCACGTCAAGTATTAAAAACCATTTGTCTCCATTCACTCCTATCAAACACGCTCACGCATGCCTGCTGGAAGTCCAAGCCCCTCGCACACAAAACCTCCTTTACCCCCTCCCTCCAACCCTTCCTAGGCCGACCCCTACCCCGCCTTCCTTCCACTACAGACTGATACACTCTTGAAGTCATTCTGTTTCGCTCCATTCTCTCCACATGTCCGAACCACCTCAACAACCCTTCCTCAGCCCTCTGGACAACAGTTTTGGTAATCCCGCACCTCCTCCTAACTTCCAAAATACGAATTCTCTGCATTATATTCACACCACACATTGCCCTCAGACATGACATCTCCACTGCCTCCAGCCTTCTCCTCGCTGCAACATTCATCACCCACGCTTCACACCCATATAAGAGCGTTGGTAAAACTATACTCTCATACATTCCCCTCTTTCCCTCCAAGGACAAAGTTCTTTGTCTCCACAGACTCCTAACTGCACCACTCACTCTTTTTCCCTCATCAATTCTATGATTCACCTCATCTTTCATAGACCCATCCGCTGACACGTCCACTCCCAAATATCTGAATACATTCACCTCCTCCATACTCTCTCCCTCCAATCTGATATTCAATCTTTCATCACCTAATCTTTTTGTTATCCTCATAACCTTACTCTTTCCTGTATTCACCTTTAATTTTCTTCTTTTGCACACCCTACCAAATTCATCCACCAATCTCTGCAGCTTCTCTTCAGAATCTCCCAAGAGCACAGTGTCATCAGCAAAGAGCAGCTGTGACAACTCCCACTTTGTGTGTGATTCTTTATCTTTTAACTCCACGCCTCTTGCCAAGACCCTCGCATTTACTTCTCTTACAACCCCATCTATAAATATATTAAACAACCACGGTGACATCACACATCCTTGTCTAAGGCCTACTTTTACTGGGAAAAAATTTCCCTCTTTCCTACATACTCTAACTTGAGCCTCACTATCCTCGTAAAAACTCTTCACATTTTACCAGTTTACAACTTGAAAGAGCAGTTTGGGATCTCAAATTACGCTCCTGTGTAGACTCACTAGACAAATAGGATACAGTGAGTCATAGTAGGGGGAGAGATGTTGACTCGACAGTATATATCAAGATGTTTTCAAAGGTTAAGTCCTCAGATCAATATACCTCTTGATAAATGTCAACGAGTTGTCTGATAAGATCGAATACTACATGTCGATGTTCGCAAATGATGCAAAACTCACGAGGAAAATAAAAAAAAAATCGACTATGGAAAGAAAAGATTAAATGTTACCCGGATATAGTGAAAGACTGATGTAGTTTGTATATACCTAAGTTGAGCTTCAATGAGTGTAAGGTGATGAGGGAAGAGAAAGAGAAAACCCAGTAGTACCTACCGGAGAGGGAGGCAATCCCCGTGGTTAGAAAGAAAGATCTCGGGGGTGGATATAGCGACAAACTTATCACCTCATGCCAAGCTCAAAAAGGAAGAGTTTGGGGGTGAAGACAGCAACGAACCTATCACCATTGGCCCATATAAACACAGTAATGTTG